TCCTCTGTCTCTTGGTCTGAAAATGGGACTGACAGAGTCCTCCGCCTTCTATACAGGGTGGAGACTTTAACTGGATTAAATTCGCTACTGGGGGATTGAATGATTTGTTTGAGAATTCACGAGACACGTCAACGTTTATAAACGTATTTACCTACATTTGGTGAACAATATGAAGAATATTACCCTTCAGGGGTAGCAGGAATATTTCTATATCATTATACATCATATTATTCATCCGATTTGAAGAAGAATGCCAATTCTCAATTTCGGAGGATTTTATTTTTTATTATTCATGTTCTCCTTTTGAATGTTCATCAGATATAATTCAATGTTCGACGTGGGAAATAGCCAGGAAAGTAGTTGTTTTCTGTTGAATATTCAGAATGATGTGTGCATATACATATTTTTGTCTGAAGGAGAATGCAAATTCTCAATTTCAGAAGTTTTTATATTTTATTTTCAAACCATTATCGTGTTCGTCGTGGCATATAGCCAGGAAAGCAGTTGTTTTCTATTGAATAAACTGAAAAAGAGTAGATATTCTCATCCCATAGAGAACTCGAATTCTCAATGTATTGCTTCATATTATCCATTTTTGTATGTATGTATCTGAGAATATTCCTTTTCAACACTTTCATACCCAATCAGGGGGTTCAAACTTGAACGATGGAAACTTGTGATTTTTATAGACCTCTAATCGCAGATTCGTGATAGATTCTCAATTCTTTCCACGCCCTGTATGATGAATATCAATTTATCATACACCCAAAAGCAAAATAACATTTGTTTTTTTGTTCCAGATGAGACTTATAGGCCGGGAGAGGATGACTATTCAGAGAATGGAATCGACCGTTTACTTCAATCTGCTCAGAAGTGAGTGGACGTTTCACCTTATATCTGTGTCTATGACTTTCATTGATGTCTTACGGATATGTGCATTGTGCATGAATTCATTCAAGTCTTTTTTCGAGGAGTCCCTAATGCCCTAATGAACACGGTTATTCAGAAGTTTGCAAGAAAACTGAGAAAGAGCATTTTTCCACAGTTGGAAACGAAACTAACTCTATATTGAAAATCATCTATCTCTAAAAATTACAAAGGAATATTCCAACCACAGAACTGAAATAGTAAAAAAAGGATTATATAGAAATGAGCCCACAAATGGCCCCTTGAGAAGTTATGGCCATCTGAAAGGGGGTCCGAAATGATGTTTTTTTGGAAATATTTCAGAAACCCTTCGTGATGACATATCCAAATTTTTTGAATGTATATTACTTTTTATGTCCGATTTGAAAATGTTGAGAATTTTCCGAAATTTGAATCAGGGGCGTGGAAAATAGGTGGGGATAGGGACATTTTTTCCTCCAACTGTTTTTCTATGCAATTTTCGGCAGTTTGACCAGGAAATATGGAAATATCATCAACTTCACGTTGAAATAATACTCCTGTTTAGTTTTGTTAGCACTCACCCTTTTCGGAATAAATAGATTTTGTAAGTCTGCTGCGTAATAATAATAGTATACTATTTTCTACGGCTATAACACAAGATTTATCTTGTTTCACTGTGTTCGATACATCAATGAGGTACTTTGTATGTCATCAATTTTATTTCTATATATATCACAATGACTCCATTGTTTTATTATTTGAAAAAAACTCATCGCCCATGGAATGTCAAATTTCAAGCAATGACAGCTCTGTCTAATAGATAGAGCATTACTTGACAGGAAATCAGATCGCTACAAGACGAAGTAATAGAAAATGCTGCTGTTATCTATTATAGCCGTAAAAAAATTATAGTGAATAACTTTGCAAAGAATGCTAATTTCCTACTATCATTCCGTACTCGTTGAACAATATACTACTCCTTAGTAGGGTACCTATCATGATATTTTTCAATCTACTCTTTTTATTGTTGATGCCGTATTTTGAATCAAACATCACGAGTAAATGTTGAAAGAAGGGTATTTTCCATCGAAACATATTTTTTGGGAAAATTTGTTACTCTATTATAAGGAAAAAGCACTATATTTTGTTACACAGCCGATTTTTTGAAATCGATTTTTCTCGAAAATACTCGAGTGGGTATCATTTTCACGAGAAAATTCTGAAATTTTCATATTTCCTGATCAAACTGTCGAAAATTGCATAGAAAAAAAAGTTCCGACGCCACTGATCAAGATTTCGGAAAATTCTTCAAATCTACAAAAGTTTGTTATCTCATCGCAGGCAGTTTCGGAAAAATTCACAAACGTCATCATCTGGGCTCATAATTATTTGAACTTTTCGTACTATTTTTTTTCTCAGAATCTGTGGTTGAAATATTTCAATATGTCATTTCAGGACACCCTGTATATAGATATCTGTTTCCTTTCCAGCGGTTACCCATTCATGTTAGAAGTATGGTACATTTCTTTTTTATTCATTCAATATATATACGACAGAAAATATTGTCAGAAGTATCGTTTGTCACAATGAATAATACAGGGTGTAATTCAATTTTGGGCTGAAAATGCAGGATATGGCTCATTTTAAGAAGAAACTTTATATGAACATATGCCCTAAACCTCTCAACCTTCAAGCTATAGGGTGTTATTTATAATTTTTATAATTTCTCAATATAACTTCGATAGTATCCTTATAGTATTCTAGATATTCTCATGAAATTTGACAGACTCCTACTGAGCACCAATAGGCATTTTTTGATGAATGAAAAAGATTGTATGCCCTTGATTTTTTCCGAGAAAAGAAGTCATTTCGAAATCCTCATTTATTTTGCAACTATTTAACCTAATGAATTTTTTCCGTCCAACAAACCGTTTTCGTGTAAAAAAAAGACTATTTTCATGCATTTGTGGCACAACGAAGTTATTCTGAACTATTTCGTTTTCAAAATAATGACATTTGTTCGACTTATTCTGACAAGTATTCATAAACGTGATAGTATTTTACATTGTGAAAGTTTCTTTAACCAAAAAAGAGAAAATAAAAATTTTAACACCCTATATATAGTTCGAAGGTTTATGGCATATGTTCATATTATGAACTTTTCTTCTTGAAATGAGCTAAAGAACCATATCCTATGTTTTCAGCCATCAATTAAATTACACCCTGTATATTAGAGATTGCTTCATAACCACGATGCTCATTAAGAACGAATAAAAGTAATGCGAAAATCTGACCACCCTATAACGGAACAAAATAAACTGCGAAATGAAGTTTGCATCCCAAAATAACAAGCGTATGGAATTCATATATATTTTCTTGTTCAACCAAATAGTTAAATTACCCTGTATATATTTCACTATCATTCTATGCTCTCGGTGTTTGAGTTGAAGATCAAACGTTTCTAAACTCAGGAGCTATGGCGATTATAGTTGACGTATCTTTGAAGTTGAAGCCAGGAAATATCCAAAGCGATATCCTCAGTAGTGTAAGAATTCCACCAGGCTCATTAAACTTTAAGGGATCCCCAGAAACTAATTTTGCCTTGATGGCCCATAGGACGCCAGAAATTTCAGTGCACAATCAGGAGGCAGAGACCCTCATTTGAATACATTGTTTGTTTGATAAAACCAGTCACATTTTTGTGTCAAAGTCGCCGATTTCCATTATGGACCCTGTTGTTTCGTTGGGTTCCAATAAGGAGAATTAATAATCTGATGCAAATTTGCCTTGATGTAAATCCACACAGACCTCTATAGTGTTCCCATGTTCATTTCGTAATCCTCTTTGTAGAGAATGAAACGCCTCTAGCTATGGGATTTTCACGGATTAGGAAATAGTTGTAACTTAATTCACCGAGTTTCGAACAGGAAATCTCGAACTCAACTCAATTATATGTCTACTACAATGGATCTGAATACACCGAATGGAATGGATTTGTGAACAAAAACCCAAAGTTTTTTCCACAAAATGTACGATAAATTGAAAGACTAAGGTACAGAAAGGGTGAAACAATTAGATTGAATCTGCTCGAATTGATTCGGCGAGGACACGTTTTACTACCGTACACTGGAAAAAATGGGTGGTATTTCATTCAAGGTCCACTTTACAATGTCTCAATTCCGGCCTATGCCCAACTGAGTTGAAAATTCAGTCTACATGACTGTGTAGAATGGTGAATCATGAGCTAATTTAATCTTTGTATCTTTGTTATGAACATTTTTATTACTGGAAAAATTTGGTGAAATATCTTTTTTCAGCTGAGAGCTCACTCAAACACTCCTTCAGTAAAGATGCACTCACAACCATATATGCAATCGACGAAGGCAGGAAACCAACAACCTAATTGAAATCAACGGAACCAAAACTTGAGTCTGTATTTTCCTTACATGAAGGCGGAACTCAGTATGCTTGATGAATCAATGTCTGGTTTCATCATTCTCACAAAGTCTACTATATCTATGCGTGGTATTTTCATTAGTGTTGCCAACTCAGATTTCCAAAAGTCGCAAATACAGAGCGAAAGGAACAAAATTAATTATCCATAACATATATTATGTTACAAACAAAACAAGAATTAAGAAACAACATTTGAGGTCGTACAAAACAGCCAAAATTGGATAAAACCGTTAGAAACTGATCTCAGTTAAAACTAGTTTCTCAATAAAACTTTTTTCTAGTATCACATTGTTAAAATTGAAATATTTTACAAAACAAGAAGTATTTCAGATGCGTCCTCAACCACCAGATTTCACCATTTATATGAAAAAATTCAGCAGAATAAACACCGTTCACTAGATTCTATATTTTGTCACAAAACCAGAACTCAAACCATCCAGTTCTAGAGTGAAACCAAAAAGTTGGCAAAACTAAATTTTCCATCATCAATATACTCCTTGATAGCTGCGACAGCTGTTTTTAAAATAATCGGATTTTTATTTTGTGCGAAGAGCTACTTGATACCTCAGCAGCTTCTCATGATTTACAAAGCTCAGATACGGCCCGTTCTAGAATAATGTTTCCACATATTGGGTTCAGCACCCAAATATATGCTGATGCTCTTACATTCCATCCAGAAGCGAGCCATTCGCCTGATGGTGGGTAATGCCGTATATTGTAAAAAAGTCGGAGATCTCCATCTTTTCTCCTCGCTTTTTACTAAATAATTCCACTGGCAATGTTCTTCATAAATCTCTGCTATCATTCCATAACTACCAATACCAGTCAGACATTATCGAGAAGCTCAGTCAGTACATTCTTTCGTCGTCAACCTCGAACAATTCTTTACAAAATCTAGTTTGTTTATAGAAAGGCAAAAGCTCTGGAAGTTTTTGACAAAGGAAATATTCCCAAGAACAAAAGTTGAAATAGAATTCAATAGCTACCGTGATTCCCTATTCTCCCTAGGTACGCTCCTCCTACATAATAGGAATTTATTCCTCTCGAGCCCACTAGCGGTTGAAAACAGGTTTTGGTCTATTGGCTTCTCGGATGATAGTACCCTCCATACCGTTTTCTTATCCAGGGCTCCAATACCAGCCAGGCAAATCAGAAACGAACGTGGGAGAAATGTTGACAACATAAATATGGACTTAGCAACAATTCTCGAATGGGGATCCAATAACTTGGTAGATTCCAATGCAAAAAAAACACAGGCATGTCTTTTCTCTAGAAAAGCCAATCTCACTGTGCCCAAAATAATCTTGTCATGAGTAACCATACCTTTGGAGGCATCCATTTCGATGCTTGGTATTACTATCAGCAATAACCTTTCTTGGTAAAATCACGTGAGATCAATTGCTAAAAGTGCATCTCAAAAACTTGGTTTTCTGTTCCGGGCCAGGAGCTATTTCACTTCCATTCAGCTGCTTATGATCTATGAGGCACAGATCCGATCTGTCCTGGAATACTGTTCTCATATTTGGAGTGAAGCACCCAAACATACCTTGAAACTGTTGGATTCTATCCAGTGGGCGAGGCCTCGCTCACAAACTAACTCACTTCTCTGGAACACCGTAGAAAAGTTGGCGATCTGGCTCAGTTTTATATATTTTCATGAATGATGCTCTTCTGGAATATCAACAATAATTGTTCATTCCTTGGCAGCCCCCGCGAGATTAACCCGTCGAGTTGAGGCTTCTCACCCCTTCGTGGTCACTTTGGAGACCTGCAGAACATTTCTTTCCAAAGACTCGTTCATCCAACGAACAGCAAGGCTCTGAAACACATCGCCAAGGTAGGTGTTCCCAGAGGCAGATAACCTCCAGAAATTTAAGAAGCGAACACCAATTCCTACCTTATTTCCCTTGGTTCTCACGATAATCTCTGAACATTACAGGATATCCCTTTTCGTGGGAACCAGAACATAAAAAAAATCAGTGCAGAGCAGGACACTATTGTCTAGAGTCAGATTTTCGTATTATCAGCTTGAGTACTCGTAGTAGATTTTGATGTTCTATGTCAATTATTCCAGCATCTCAGTGTATTCATTCAACGTGGATCGTATTTGGCCGTCAAGATTATTCGTGGACTTCACACTATATAATGTCTTGCCGAACTTCTCGCACTGAGATGCTCGGATGCGTAGAGAGAGAATCATCTTCCTCCAGCACGTGGTTGTCATAAGTGATTTCTGATTTTCATTGCAGACGTTCCTCCTTAATTTACCTTTTCAGACGAGCATGCGTCAGAAGAGGAGGAAACTGCGACCACAGACCGAACGATTGCTGCTACAACAGCTCCTGCAGATGCAACCTCTGGGGCTCCAATTGCCGATGCCAGCGTATGGGGCTCTTCCAGAAGTGGGGGTAAACATCGCTGACACCATAGACCAGATCAGACAGTGGGGTGATACCTGGAAAGTGTCATCTCTGATTCTCAGAGTCGGGGGTTGATCATTTTCCGGACTAGCACACATCTGTATCGGTAACCCAGCTACCAAGGGTTCGGAAAACTCACCCATCGGATGGTAGGGGAGTTTTTCGAACGTTGGTATCGACCTTCGCGAGCTTTACGGTCAACGATTTTCTTCTACAATATTTGGAAACACTCGTTAAATAAGTACAACATTGTCTCTGATCGATTTGTGTTTGACAAAGCAAAATGGGCAAAGCGCTATTTACCTATTGTTTGATTTCCGATAATTTGAACATCGACACTATGAAATAGAGAAGACGAAACAAAGGGCATCTAATAAGGATGGTCGCAGCCAGCTGCTTACTCACTAAGGGTTTTTTCCAGCCACATCCTCAGTGTGTTGGCATGTCTGTCTGATATTCACAGATTCCTATATGTATAACATATTAAATATATTGTAAGTATGTATTTATGTATAGATGTGATGCTAAGAAAAGATATTCCATGCGGTTATTATCAGCCTATCAAGGTCTATTATGTAATATGTAATGATAGTATTTTGAATCTATATTATGAACAATATTCTTAAATGTAAATGTGAAGAGGGTACAACATTCACTATTCTGTCAAAACAACCTACTGAATATTAAATATATCAATTGGCCTATATAAATCCCCTTGTTTCATTTGCTACATCTTTACTTCAATAAATATTCAAGGTGGTGCCTGGAGAAGGAATATTTATCATTGATTGTATTTAATGCGTTCGAAAAGACTCGACTCATTACAAAACTACTTCTCTCTCTCGCAAATTTTCATGGTAAATTGGTTCCTGGTGAATTTTTTATAATTTTTGGTATGATGTGGTTCATTTGGTTCTATAAAATATTTTCATCGAGCCAATCTTCAAAAATGCACAGGTTTTTTGAAAGGGGGTTCGAATTCACATTTTGATTGAATTGACCATTTGTTTCTGAGAAAATGAAAGATATTCCAAAACTTTTTATTCCATATAATTACTTCTGGAAATAGATTCTTCATAAAAAAATATAATAGCCACCTCTCTCGAAAGGAGGCAACTCAATGCGGGGTACCACAGGGTTCCGTACTTGGCCCCACATTGTTGTTACTTTATATAAATGATCTCACAAAAATTAATATATCTGGAGAGTATACATTGTTTGCCGATGACACCACTATATTTTGGCATGACAAAGATGAGCATGCATCACATCATTCCACATTGATAATAAGTTGAAGTTTAGCGACCATGTCACGAAATTGTGCAAAAAATTCTCAACTGGATGCTACGCAATTAGGATAATATCACGGGAATTAGACTTAACAACTGCTAAAACAGCTCATTTTGCTGTTATTGAATCCCATCTAACCTACGGCATTGCTTTCTGGGGAGTGTGCAACAAACAACTGTTACATATGGTGCAAGTTGTACAAAAAAGAGTCATTAGGGCTCTTTGTAAAGTGAAAACGCGTATTTCTTGCCGCGACTTTTTCAAAAATAATAGAATCCTCACAGTTAGTTCAATTTTCGTTTTAGAAACCACTTGCTTAATACACAAGAATCGTCACAAATATAATATAGTGCCGTCTAACCATAATACGTGATCATCGCACAAATTGAGATTACCTCTACCACTACCAAAAAACAATCTTGTTGAGGAATCTTTCATTTATAATGGACTAAAAATTCATAATTGCTTACCAATATATCTACGAGAAATTCAATCATTCAGATTGTTTAAAATAAAATTGAAAGAATTGCTATCCACTCATCCTTTTTACAACGTGGAGGAATTTTTTAGTAGTGAACCCTTATGTTAGCATTAAAATACGCTTGCCTCTATATTTCAGAATTGATTTCATATGTTTGCATCCTGTGGCTTCATCTGCACATTTTATTATATTATGTCTTTTGGTTTTTAACGTTCTTGATGTTTTAAATGTTTCAATTTTTTTAATGTTTCTAATATTTTCAATATTTTTAACATTCTTAATATTTTACTTTGTAATACCTATACAATGACTTTGTCGATAAGAACTATTTCTTCTGAGCATATTTGATTGATTGATTGATTGAAAGATATTTTTTGCCAAATCTCATAATTCACCTTATATATTGAAAAAGAAGTGAAGAAGGCACTTTCTGATGGACATTCGGTATCGCCCTCAGGGGCGTCTATTCGTGGTAGGAGTATGTACAGTTCCTCATGACTCACCCTGTATTACTCACTAGTAGTAATTCAGCTGAACAATTATAACAAACAAATCATGCTGTCCCAGATTGACTGCCTGATAGCGACAACACTAAACCTTCCTGTGGCAGAGAATTCACTTTCAGAAGGCTTTCAGCAAGGTCGTTATTGCTATGGTAAATAGCAAGAAATACACAAACTATAATAGCTCAATTTTTCTCAGTGCAACATTTGATGGGTTTGGAAGTTCAAAATTCAGTGAACACGATTTTTAAAGATCAGTGAATCCTGTCCTACTATTGACATAGCAAATCGATAGGTAAGTTGATTCTAATGGGCACTCGCATTTTTTCAAAACCATCGCATCTAGTGCGAAACAGAACCACAAAGCACGTTTAATCGCGCACCCCAAACTGATCGGAAATTTATATCGTTATCGACAAACTGGTAGGTGAGATTATACAAAATGAAATCCAGTATGACGTTCAAATAATGATCTTATCTTCAGTGCCACATATTTAGAGTAAGCATCAGTGATATCATTAGTATTTCGATGGAGTTACAAGATACGTCAGCAAAATGATTTTAACTTTACCTAAGAATGGTTGTATCCACGTTGTATCTGAGTTGGTTGTCAAGCATCTCTGATGAAGTATAATTCACTTGACATTTTGGCAATTACTAATTACTATTGTCGTTATTTGTAAATTGATTGATTCATGATAGGGTACACAGTGGGAGTTGGGTTTTGGGCTTTCCTGGACTATTTGACGAAATTTCCAGGTATTCGAGTATTCCCTGTATAGCAAGCAGTACGCTTGAATAATATGTCTGAGGAAAAACTGTATCGAATTTCAAGCAGGTATCTATTCCAACTTCAAGTTCATGAATCGATAATTACCCTAGTTTCAGTAGAGCATTATTATACTGCTATTTCATTTCGTTATTCAGGAGACAAAATCAATAAAGGGGTCTTATTATAGTATTTCTGTCACCCCCATCTCAAAATCGCAATAGACAGCACATATACATTCATTACACCAGACACCACTATTGTTTTCCAAATGTGACCCAATACTGTCTGTGGGTTAAAGAGATGAAATATTGATGTTGAAAAGGAATATTCTCAGATAAATTATGAACATAAAAAAATGTGTTGAAAAGGAATATTCTCAGATGAATTATGAACATACAAAAATGGATATATATTTATATAAAGCAACATTGAGAATTCGTATTCTCTATATGTGATGAGAATATTTACTCTTTTTCAGTTGATTCAATAGAAAACAACTACTTTCCTGGCTATATGCCACGACGAACATTGAATTACCTACATCTATTGAACACACACGATAAGAGTTTGAAAATAAAATATAAAAACTTCTGAAATTGAGAATTCGCATTCTCCTTCAGACAAAAATATGTATATGCACACATCATTCTGAATATTCAACAGAAAACAACTACTTTCCTGGCTATTTGCCACGTCGAATATTGAATTATATCTGATGAACATTCAAAAGGATAACATGAAAAATAAAAAATAAAATTCTCCGAAATTGAGAATCCACATTCTTCCTCAAATCGAATGAATAATATGATGTATAATGATATAAAAATATAACTCACAGTGTCTAGGAGCTAAAGTTGAAGTTTAACTCCTATGAACTAAAAACGTGTTGGATGACAGCTTATTGATAGCTGCTTTGACACTGACATGCTCGAGTGCCTCAAAATAGTGTGGTATTCGGTAAGAAAATTTCACATTTATTCAACATTTCATTCTACTTTGTGCATTGTGGCTATTTCTTCGTCATAGTTAAATATCCAATGTTTATCTCATTCCATGTAATTCGCGTATATTTCTGGCGAGTATTACCTACATTTCCCAACCACTCTGTTGGAAACCCTGCCTTTCTAAAAAGCAATTAGTAGCATCCAGAGTGATATTCGTAGAGTGATAACGCCGTTTTAATTGTTCTTGGCACAAGACAGATGCTACAGGATAATACCCCACCGTGTTTCGAGGGGTGTGTAATTAAAAAAGTGTCATGATACAGAAGTTTAAACTTGCAAATTTGTGCTTTAATTACTACAAGATGTGAGCGGTTGCCTTTCAATCCCCTTGACAATGTAGCTCCACTACTAGACATTGGATATTGCTCTGAATATGTGTCATTGAAGTGTCAATCCCAAGCAATCGAAAGTAGATACTAGCATTTTTTTCTCAAACACCATAGCGACTCTTTCAAGGCTCATCACAGAGATGTATAGAAATTCAATTCAATATTATGATAACCACCCATCATTCAGACCGAGTGGTATGAATGAATCTATCAGACAAGCCAAAACTGCAACCATATTCGGTGTATGAAGATGTGGATATATGGTATATGAAGAGGAAAATTTTCATATATTTTTCACATCCCAATTTCACCCGAAACGGCCTCGGTTTTGAAGTTTTTGTATGGAACACCCTATATATTAAAACATTTTCGACTCTCTGAGACAATTCTGGAACAGAATATAACATCAATTTTTTCCAGAAACACTTATATAGGTAGCCATGGTCGTAGGTAAACTTATCTACGGACCTCAGTTGATCTCAGAAAATTATAATCGCGAAGTTTTAGTGACTATCACGACTATATAGTATGACAGATAGGTAAAAAACATGTTGACAAAATCACATTTTCCGTCGACCTCGTATTAACGACCAAGTTTAATGTATATGAAATCGTTCATTAATGACCCCTATTAATGGACGATTTGTCTATTAATGCACGATTGTTTTATAGGCAACCAAACATACACCGCGTGCATTCATTGTTTATGCTATAACTAGCGGAATCTGCATTTAAATCGAAAATATGGATTTCATCGACGATTTTCCGTTAACGGGTTCGCCTTTCCAAGTTTCTGACACGATTTTAATCCCTGTTTTCTAACACAGGGAATTTATTTCCTATGTTGATCATTTCGACAAATGTCAAATGACACTAATGTCAGTAACAAGGCTACTGGGTGATTCCTAGCAGTTTCCGGATGGATGATGAATTCGCGAACCAAGTTTTCTTCATTGCAGGAGAAATGAGAGATATAGTCGACGGAAAAATTTTGTAACCAACTTGTATATTAAAAGGCGATTAATGATCTCGAACATTAACGCACTCGCTTCGCTCGCACGTTAAAATATCTCGATCATTAATCGCCCTCATTAATATACTAGTTGGTTAAATAACTATACCTTATAGTAATATTAAATTTTCGTTCTTATTTTCAATCCATTCGCAAATAAGTTAGTATCGTTAGACTCGCCAGAAAACCTTCCTTCGGAAATTGCTTGTCAAAAAATTCTTGTTATTCCAAGAATAGTAGTTATACCCGGAAATGTAATAGACGAGTGGACTTTTCTCAAATTTATTAAATAATATCATCTCTCGAATACC